GAGTTCAAATAGAAGTAGCGGAAGCCATTTGTTCAAAACCACACACACTCACACGGAGTTCAAATACAGTGCCAGCTAATAATCATCTCCAACAAAAGCATTATACGAGACTTAAGGAATGACCATGCCCATGGTCCTAAGCATCACCCATCGTAGGATAAAGGTAGTTGATACAATAACCGTAATACATCTGCCCATCTGCAATAAGTGGGAACAAAACCCTGAGTATGAGAAGGTACTCAGCTAGACTTACCCGACATAACCGAAAATAAAGTGACACCAAGGATTATGAAGGTCTTTATAATAGGGTAGCTGACTCATTTGCAAAAAGGCATTTTTAGCATTTCAAGAACCTTTCCAAAAACATTATTATCAAGTTAAATATTATTAACCTGTCGACTACATTTGCACCTATACTAGAGCAAGCATGTGATTAAGCAAATAATGATAACCAATGATCATTAACAACTTCCATAATGTCATATTCATTATAACTGTCCAAGTGTTCCATCAACATTACTATGATGAAGTAACTCAAGTCAAGTGTTCACTATCCAGTGAACGATGGCGATTTGAATCGATTATTAACCAGCTGGTAATTTATTCCTTACACAAACCTCACTCACCCATAAAAGCGAGGTGTCGGTCACCGAGTCAACTATCCAGGAAAAATCTCGAGTTTGCTAGGAACCACATGTACCCGGAGGCCGATCGACTGCCTTTCGGTCTTATCATCGTGCCTCCGTGTCCTACCACACCTGCTCCGGTACAGTGCGCTGCGGGCAATCTACTCGGCCCGAATAATCTCCTAGCTTCGCGGTCGAAAGGTACTTTATTCGGCCAACTAAATGTAAGGCATGCGTTCAACATGACCTGAGGCCCAACAACGGTCGGTCCTTAATCGACACAGACGGAAAGCACTACAGCCAAAACTCTGTAAGTCTTCGTCCGGTCTCAACTTCAAATTAACACTTAGTTATACCATGACTACATAGTTATCCAAGCAGATCCAGGTAACCACCTATACCTCACAGGTGACAGGAAATCACCTGACTTCTACCGGTCTAAGCCAGCTAAGCATTGACTCGACTGCGGATACCAGGGTAACAAGGATATAGTATAACAAAGGTAGACAAGGTATAATGCAGCAACGGTTGCAAACAACTCCTGAACGTAATGCATTAATTAAAGTAAAACATTAATTAATAATCGCAAACCGGGGAGGAAAATGCTCCGGGGCTTGCCTCTCTCGAAGGAGCTCGGACGGTGATCGGGGCACTCCGGAAGTTCCTCAATGTCCTCCTCGTCTGCTCTGGTCACTTCTTGCGGCTGCACCTCGAGCTACTCCTCAGGCTCCTCGGGTACGACGACCGGTCTCTCGGTTTGCGATCCTGTATGATACGGTGCGTAAGTGTTTATGCAAAAGGTGCATCGGATGAAATGAACACAATGAATATGCTTGCATGCAAGGTAGATGAGCATGATTCGCTTTAATGGGGAGAGTATAATACAAATCTCATACAAGGTAGTCAACATCATCCAAGAACATATACTACAAGCACATGTCATCTACTGCATTCTCTTCTACTACTAATATGCTAAGTCAATACATCTCATTGAATGCTTCAAAGATACATCAAAGCTTCACTAATTTATTAATCTTGAATAAAGCAACATTTGATTAAACCCTAATTAATAATATGTTTGAATAGCAACATCTATTTTTATAGCATAGAAAAATCTTAGAAAATTACCATAGCACAGTACTACCCTAAGTAGTCTACCATCAAATTTTTATGGCATTTGGATAAGTGGAATAGCCTTCACAAAAATGACAAGCTTGGACCTAAATATGAGCATGAAAATACTTTGTATTATGAAAAGTGTCAAACAATAGATTTAGTATTTTTCCTAGGTTCTAAATAGTAAATAATCACAGTACAAAAATTATCACATGCATGTTTTATATAAATTTTGTTCTCTAGCAAAAATAACAAAAATCAGCCATTAAAGGCACTTGAACTACACCTCATAATTTTTCTACAGGACATGCATGGAATATATTTTTCCTAGAAAGTACATTACAAAATAAGAGTAACAAACTTGAAATCATATTTTTCTGATCTTTCTATGATTTATTATACCTTTCTCATGAAAACAACAATTTTAATGATTAAATAAAACTCCACAAAAAGTGTCACCAAACTGACATGCAATATTTTTAAACCCTAGACCTAGTCATGAGGATCACAACAAAATTTATTTCACCATTTTTGGATCTACATAGCTCTACTTATCATTTTTTTTAGTTGCGCACAAATTAGGAAATAAATGAACTATCCTACAACACAACAATCAATGACAACTGGGACCTGCTGTCAGTTGACCCCATCGGTCAGTGAAACAAAAACAGGGCAGCGGCGCTGAATCGACACTGGTCGGCCACAGCTCGTCGCCGGTGAGTCCTCCGACGAAGGCAAGTGCTCCTACATGATCTACAGAGCAAACCACGTCGGGTGAACTAGGTGGTGGCGGTGCAGGCGTGGCGGAGCGTGCTCGTCGCCGGCCATGGCGGCACGGCGGCGCTTCTCTGCAGTGCGCCGGCCATCACCGGCCACGGCGAAGCTAGGCGAGGCGCGCTACAGAATCACGGTGACTATGCGACTACATCTAGGCGACCTAAGCGGCAGGAGGTGCTCCGACGAAGCATAGCCACGGCAGCGGCCATGGCGGAGCTCCGGTGAAGACGTACCCGTGGTGGCGCAACGCGAAAAGCGGCTTACCAAAGGCGCGACTGCGAGTGCTGCAAGGTGGGAATGGCAGAGCAGAGTGAGGCGAGCTTTGGGCTAGACGGAGGCGGTGGCAGTGCGGTGGAGCTCACGCGAGGCAACGGCGGAGGTGGTGCGGTGCTCGGTGGCGCTGTGCTCTTCCACGGCGAGAGGAAGGGCGAGCACGGGAGAGCGAGAGAGCGGGCGGGAGTGAGTGGAGAGGAGGCGCGGGGTGGTGCAGATAACGGGCGCCAGCTCACGACGTCGATGGCCAGGCGTCGGCCAACGGTGGGCACACGGCGTGCGTGCTCTGACGCGGTCGGGCGCGGCACACGGGAGCAGGGGCGCGACGCGGAGGCAGGCCGGGCCGGCCTGTGCGGCTAGGCCGAAAGCGAGGCGGCGACCCATTGAAGGAAAAATGAGATTTTTCAAACTATTTTCAAATCCCTTTTCATTCAAACAAAATTTTGAACTATTTCAAAGTAGTTTCAAAAGTTGGTGTAAAAATAAAAGTTGTTCCATTTTTCAAGATCTACAACTTTGCTTTTATGACAAAGTCAAATTCCAAATAGATTTTGAATTACAAAATAAAATCAATATTAATTCAAAACCCTAATTTTGAAGAATTATTTTTAAAGCCAAAATTTGGTAAAAATTTAAATATGAACTTTGCTCCAAATTGTATCCTAAATATTTATAAGCTATCTTTGTGATAAAAAACAAGAAATCATAGCATCCAAACATGAGCATGACATTTCACATTGTTTAAAACATAAATGAATTTCAATCACTTAAGCACCACATGAAATGATACTTCATTTCTTTTGAAATGATATGCATGCATGATGCTTATGCATGAGGTGATGATGATTATGCTCATGGGATGAAATGGTAATGCACGTTTAACACCGAGGTGTTACAGTACTATAGCACTTTTCGTTATTATTTGACAATTAGTGTCCAATCATAATCTAATTAGGCTTAAAAGATTCATGTCGTGAATTTCATCTAAACTGTGTAATTAGTTTTATTTTTTATTTATATTTAATGCTTCATGCATGCGTCCAAAGATTTGATGTGATGGAAAATCTTGAAAAATTTTGCAAAATTTTGGGAACTAAACAGGCACCAAGTGCAACATAGATACATCGATTATATGATGAGCACTCAATATCATAGCCATACCATAACTAAACAATGCACAGTGCCATCCAATGATAAAAACTCAATCGTTTGATCCACCTTTGTTGCATATTTGTTTAAAAATAAGAAACTTTACATGTGAAGTTGTTTTAAAAATACATATTTGGCACTAGACAACTTCAAATCATGAAGGCTGCTAAATAAGTTATGCCAAACGGTGCCTAAGCCAAACATGTGTACCGGAGCTATCGGCTCCATTGTGAAAGACCAACTTCGGAGTGAAGTACTAGAGTTGCTTTTTGTGGTGAAGTTAGTGCTCTAAATTTGCTTTTACATAGCTAAAGCTCTCCTAAACATAACCTATACTTTTGTAATTTTTTCTAACATTAATTACCTATTAAAATGCTGCGTGCGCTACCACCATCACCCGTGAAGCAGTTGAACGGGCTGCCCGCCCCGTGCGCTTCCGTTCAGGGCTTGTTTGGTAGAGCTCTATCTCTATGGAAGCCGATTCTCTAAGAGAATTGATTCATGGTGAAGGTGATTCTCTTTGATTCTTTAGCATAAAAACTCTTAAAATTACGATGGACAATTACTTCGTAGAATCAGGAGAAACTATTTTTTTAAGCTCTCAGTCTCTTAGTTTATTTCGGAGAACCACCTTCCAAAATCAGTAGAGAATCGTTTCTCTAGAAAACAGAATCCAAGCCTCACATACGTACCCAGTGCACTAGGCACGAGTCGGGCGGTTCATTTGGAACCAGCCTCGGTTCACCGGTTTTGTCAAAAATTGGCCGGTCTGTAACTGGTTCTACCGGTGTATGGACAGTAGTGTTCGGTTCCTTTTTTTTACCGGTCCACAGCCGGTCCGGTCCGGTACGCGCCTGCTCCTTCCCCGGCACGATTCGTGGATTCCCGTCCTCCCGCCTTCCTCCGGAAGGAAACGCCATAAAAAACCCCGGCTAACCACTCCAAAACGGCAAAACCCCATCGAGAGCGAGCCATTCCCCTCCCACGACCCCACCCCACCGCCGCCACCGCCCACCTCCCGGGGCCCGAACCTTCTGGAACCCCAGGGCCGAGGAGCAGATGTCGGCGAGGCTACGGGTGGAGGAGCTCCGCGCGGCGCTGCTGAGCCGCGGCCTCGATGTCACTGGCACCAAGCATGCTCTCGTGAGTCCTCCCGCCTTTCCCCAAGTCGTCAGAAGCGTACCCCAGCAATCGCCGAGCTGCTATTCGCGTCCGATTTTTGCTGCGGCGTGCGCGGCCCAGCCGCGCGAATGAGCGCCCGCATCATGTGCTCGTGCGCAGGCTTGCTGTGCTTGTGCTAGGTTTCTACTGCGTGCGCGTATTGATGCGTTCGAGATCCTTGTTGTGACTTCACTGCTGAAATGTCCTCTGCACCAGGTGCGGAGGCTGGACGCCGCAATCTGCAAGGATGAGAAGATCGCGGCGGCTGCTGCGGCTACCGAGGTGGCAGATGGGTATGGCGTAGCCGTAGATGGTGTGCTCGTGGATGGCAAAGGGAACGGCGGGAACAACAAGAAGAGGAAAAGGTCCGGTGATGGGGATGAAGAGGGGAACGGCGATACGTCTATAGATCTGGCAAAACTAGAGGGCATGAGCTATCGCGAGCTGCAGGGATTGGCTAAGGCACGGGGACTCGCGGCAAATGGGGGCAAGAAGGATGTTATCCAGAGGTTGCTCTCGGCGACTGCTGATCGTGCTGCAGTTGCAGATGGTGGTCCTCAGGGCGAAAAGGAAGTCATAAAAGGTCTCCAATTCTGTAGATCTATTTGTTTCTTCATGTATTTTTCCCCTGGATTGGGTTGCAGTACCTATGCTCATTCATTAAAGGTGAGGGTATAATTTGTTCCTGTAATTGATTGGTACAGGTGGTGATGAGGAGGTTGAGGTGAAAAAGGAGAAGATGGTTACAGCCACGAAGAAGGGAGCTGCAGTGCTGGATCAGCACATTCCCGATCACATAAAAGTGAACTATCATGTCTTGCAAGTGGTACGATGATTTACTTTGCCTTTAATTGTCTTATACTTGATGTGTGCCTTGGGTGTGCACTTCAGTTTGCTCCACCTCATAGTCATATGCTGAACTAATGAAAAATATGATCCACTAGGATGAAAAAACAAATTATAGACCATTTGTGTCCCCTAAGCCAAATCACATTAACTGAGTGCTGCTGCAATCGTTGGGTATTCAGTTTGTCTGTTAATAGACATTGTGCGGTAGCCTAATCTAGCAGGACCAATTCTGTCTGAAATTGAAAGACTATTCCAAGGAAAACTAATAATTTTTCCCTAATTTCTTCCCTTAAGTTTTGGTATTGAAAGTAGGTGTAAAGTTTTTTAATAGACATCTTTTTAGAATGGAATGCCAAATATTTAGTACCCTTAAACTGATTTTCAATGACCTTATGCTTCTTTTGTTATCATGTTGATGGTGGACATGCTTTCTACAGGGCGATGAAATCTATGATGCCACCTTGAACCAGACTAATGTTGGAGACAACAACAATAAGTTCTATATCATTCAAGTTTTAGGTTTGTCATGCAAATCACTTTTTGCAGATGCCTTTCTTCAATTCATTTTAAATAACAACTGAGTGATATTAAATTGGTCGATGAAAATACCATGCTTTCCAAAAAATGTTGCAAGTTTCTCTTTTTTGCTCTCATGTGCATCTGTACTATTTTATTCAAATGTAATGCAGTAATGCACAAGTCAAATGTACTTGTTGCCAACATGGTTTCAATCTATGAAATATGAATGATGGTTGATATTAGATAGAGAGTTAACTTGTGCCTGTTAATTGTAGAATCTGATGCTGGTGGAAGCTTGATGGTTTACAATAGATGGGGAAGAGTAGGGGTACGAGGTCAAGATAAACTACATGGTCCCTTTTTAACACGAGACCAAGCAATATATGAATTTGAGGGGAAGTTCCATGACAAAACTAATAATCATTGGTCTGATCGCAAGAACTTCAAATGTTATGCAAAGAAATACACTTGGCTTGAAATGGATTATGGTGAAACTGATAAAGAAATAGTAAGTCTTATCAAATTGTTTCTAATTTAATATTTGTATTGGTTTTAATTCTTTGTTCTTATTTGCCCCAGGAGAAAGGTTCCATTACTGATCAGATAAAAGAGACAAAACTTGAAACTAGAATTGCGCAGTTCATATCCCTGATCTGCAATATTAGCATGATGAAGCAACAAATGGTGGAAATAGGTAAGTTGCATTGTTCCTGTTCTTCAAACAGATTCTAGTATCGTAAATTCATAATGTAAAGTCTGTGCGAAGGTAACTATTAGTTGTATTTATTTCCTAAGATGATATTGTTATCACCAAAAAATCTTTGATGATGTGTGCCACCTTCATAAGTTTCGTGGAATAATTAATGTTTTGCACATTTTAATGGACTTAATTTCAAAAAGAAAAACTGAGTTTCAAGGGAGTAAATTGATTATTAATCACCAGTTCAAATAGTAGCGCTGATTTAATTCAGGGAAAAAATGAACAATCAATTGCATGCTTTTATCTTGTCCCAGTCTATATCTGTTATGTTGAAAAATGAAAAATATATTTATGTTGCTTATACATTTAGCATTAGCATGTACTTATCATCTTGCTCAATCAAATAGGTTATAATGCTGACAAGCTTCCCCTTGGAAAGCTAAGCAAATCTACAATACTTCAGGTGAGTTATGTTGATGTTTCTAATTGGGAATTATGAATTCGTTGTGGACATAATACTACAGGGTGAAGAATGATTCACATATACAACTTGCACTTAACTATCTTACAAGCTAGGTGAAAGAATAACATAGAGTTGCATTGGCACAAACTTTACAAGTAAATAACTTAAATATAGCATACACTGAAAATGTTTCGCAAGATGTGTGTTAAAAGCTTCACTCTGTTTTAATAATGATAACATTTCCGAGCTTTCCATAGGGTTATGATGTTTTGAAAAGGATATCCAATGTTATTTCAAAGGCAGACAGGAGACAGCTTGAGCAATTGACTGGGTAAGCTCATAGTTTCTTTTTATTTGACAAAGTATATTATATGACTAAAATATGATGCTTGTTGACACCCTATTGGACATATTCAATATGCTTTCATCATGTGTTTTATATTATTTAAATTGTGGAAGTATTGACATTTTGTTGCTTCACATGTTATTGAGTGTCTTTTTACTCATTAGCTTAGCATTGAGGGCAATTGGACATCGTTTAATAGGTGTTATAGACTTTCAAAATATCAATGATAACCATCAATATGTTCCTGTTGCCATACATGGTATGGTCTTTAATATTGTAACGATTGATTATGGTTGTTTGCCAATCTCAAGGTATGAAGTAGTTTATTGGAAATATTGAACATTTCTTTATCAGAATCAATGATGGCTGTTCTATGCTTGAAATCATCCATGCCCTGTATAGAGAATAGTCAAATTCTACTGATTCTGGTTGCAGTAGAAATTTTTGTCCTTCAACCACTAACTGTTTTGTATGTTGCCTCTGGTTGTAGGGAATTCTACACCGTGATTCCTCATGACTTTGGTTTCAGAAAGATGCGTGAGTCTCAAACTTTCTAGCTTAGTGTCCTTACAGAATGAATATATTATGTTTAGCACTGTTTCAGTCGCCTCTTAAGCATTCTTTTGGTTCAGGGGACAAGTGGGGATGGGACTTGGTGATACTCTTTCCATCAGTGTTTGGTTGTGGGGCGTCTGGGCATGGGTTGAGCCTAGACGGTAATATGCTACTTAGATGTGGGGCAAGCCTATAATACCTTGGCCCATTATTAGCTTGTAGTAGTTGGCCCATGCGGTTCATGTGTAGTTGTGGTTGTCGGGTTTAGTATCATCTTCGAAGTTTAGGAGGGTGAGGGCCAGCCTATAATCTTTGTCGCTCCAAACGTACTACCCCTGAGAATGAAAGTGTAAGAGAGGTGCTATGCATATGTGGGCTCATTCCACGTGTGAGCTGGGCCATCAGCAGATTTTGCACATGGGGGTGTTATAGAGCCCATCCCTCATTGACGGTGTCGTTATCCATCTTTGACTCTAGGCACATCACCAAGGCGGGAGCTTTGGTGCCGGCCAGCTCGAGGCCGAGCCGCTTCGGTGCAGGGGCGAGGTGGTGTGTGTAACCTTGAATCTGAGCGCACTGGATGCAGGTGAGAGCGACAAGGCGAGCTCGAGCCTTTGTGGCACATGGGGATGAGGGTGGCGCGGGGACTTTGAGCTGATCCAACACTGGGGCGGCATGGTGGTGAGGCCAGCGTGGTGAGCTCCATCCGTTGTGGCTGTAGGCAACGGCGATGGGAAGTGAGCAGGGGGAGCGGCCGGATCAACTGTTACAGTCTTAGAGACGGGTACGGTGGGAGCAGGTGGATGGACCGAGGATGGATTTGTTTTTTTATATAGGAAAAAGATGCTGCACATGAATTTGACAGGTGGGTCCCATGGCTGACAGATTGGTTCCACTCAATGCCATCCCACCTACCAAACAAAAAACCGGGATTGACCTATCCTTCACAACAAAGTGGGACAGTCATGCCCCAAAAAATAGGGATGGGATCATCCTGTCCCACCTCATCTTGAAACCAAACAGATGCTAGTTTGGAAGTGATTGCCTTCTAACAAACATCATCTGACAGGTGAATTTATTATCGACACTCCTCAGAAACTAAAAGCTAAGCTGGAGATGGTAATAAGCTATTGCCTTCTACTCATTTCTATTATCTTGCTGCTTTCAATTCTTATTTGTTTACAAACAGAGTGCATTTAGTTCATTTTAAGTTCTGATATCCTAGTTTTTATATGTAATTGGGAAACATACCTGTCATTCTTATGCAAATTCAATCAGAGTAGCTGAATTGATTTAAGTTTCATATTATTGTTATTCACATCACTTATTGATGGAGATTCACAGTCATGCCCCTTATTTGTATGATGCAGCATACGACTGTACATTGTCCTCTATGGCTGATGTTTGTGGAGAATCTGCTCACCTTGTTTTCTTGCACTAGGTTGAAGCCCTTGGTGAGATTGAAATTGCAACTAAACTTTTGGAGGATGATTCAAGTGACCAGGTATTCCATTTCACTAATTGGTCGAGTTTTTTTTAGGAATAATTCCTTATATGCTACCGACTATACCTTAAATCCTTTATATGGCACTGTCAGTGACTGTGGGGGTCAGTGATGGCATATCAGGGATTGTGAGTTTTCTCAGTGGCATATAAGGAAATTGACCATGTTATGTCTCTTTGGCTTTAAAAAATTGAATCAATTATATGCCATTAACAGTCTGGCCACAAGTTCCATTTGCCTGGGCCGATGTCATCTCTTCCTTAAAAGATATGCCCTAAATATGTTTTGTTGTACCTTTTTATATACCATCTCATCCAAATTATAGTTCACTTTCGATTTGTCTCAAGTTAAACCTCTTTTGACGTAGAAAAGTTTATAGAAAAATACACTGACTCTAGAAATCAAATTAGTTTCAGAAAATTCTCCATGAATATGTTTAAATTAATCATTTGTTTGGACTTATATATGTTGATATATTTTTCTAAAAATGTCATCAAAGTTACGGAAGTTTGACTTGGGACAAAGCCAAAGTGAACTATAATTTGGAACGGAGGGAGTGTATATCACTATAAAATAAATACTTTATTTTTTTCATTGATTTTGATTATTGTTTAGTGAATCTACAAAAACATACATATATGTGAATGTGAATGTGAACTATCTTTTTTTTTCTCGAACACATCATGTGAACCATCAGAAAACTGCACGCTTCATAGAACTCAGTCTACATATTGGATCTTACTCATCAGATTCTGTTGCATTTATCATGAATCTACAGATGTGGTTTTATTGAAATCTTAGACATCGAATTGAACTAAATTGTGTAGTTTTCTGAGTTATGTGGAAAAATTGTGTAATTGTGTGAATTTAATCTAATCGCGAATATGCAATTTTCACTTGTTTCTGGAGTTGGCGGCACATTTTGATTTGTTTAATAATAGTGTCCATGCTTCATACCCTTGCACATTTTTAAACATAAGCATAACATGATTGAAAATGTAGGATGATCCGCTATATGCTCGATACAAGCAACTTCATTGTGATCTCACACCTCTTGAAGCTGATTCAGATGAGTACTCTATGGTAATTTTCCTACCAACAATATACATACATATATTGTGGACGTTCGAGTCTGTAGCTCAAAAGGATTCTTTCACATTTCAAGCTAACATATTTACATCTCAATCTTATTTATTTTCAAGCTTATAAATAAATGTGTGAAAACATTCTTATGCAACATGGAATGGTGTCTTTATTCTTGTCCGCTGTCTTTGGCAAATTGCTCATCTGAAGTTTTTAATTATTTACAAAAATATCTGCTGTCCAGATAAAAACATATTTGAGGAATGCACATGGAAAAACACACTCTAGTTATACGGTGGACATAGTGCAAATATTTAAGGTTTCAAGGCATGGTGAAACAGAGCGATTTCAGAAAGTGAGATATTTCTGTTATGTTATAATCTACACAACCCAAAAGATTGGACTGTCACATGACTAATTTTCAACATGTGCATGCAGTTTGCTAGTACAAGAAATAGGATGCTTTTGTGGCATGGTTCTCGGTTGAGCAACTGGACTGGGATCCTTTCTCAGGGTAATTCATGCTATCTAAAATTATTTACTACCACTTCTATATATGGCTTCACTCTGCTTTCTAAGTTGATGAGATACTTCCTGCTATCTACTTGTCCTGGAGCTCACAAGATCAGCATCTAGTTCGTAGTGGGACTGCTGAAATTTCAATGTTAAATTTATCAGCATGAATTGAATGCTTCATTTTTGTGAGAATTTGTTATGGTGCTTTTCTTCACGTTTTTAACACTTGTGTAGTTAGTGTCTAGCAAAGTTTGCTCATTCTGTTAGAATTAATTACCTCTTAGCTGTAATCTCTTAGTCCTATGCGCCACCTCCAGGCTGGCCAGGCCCTTTGGGCTCTCCCTGCTCTCCTATATATACGTGTAACTCCTCCTATAATCTGATTAAGTAATCCAAGCCTATTGCCCTTCCTCTATTATGGTATCATACTAACTTACGATTCCTCTGCTTCCGCTATTCCCGGCGCCCGCCTCGAGCCGCGCCCGCTCCTTCACCTCTCACACCTTGCCTCAAGCGCTTCGCGCCCAGGCCGGAGCCAGCCATGACCACGACCCTTCCTCGCCGCCCGGCGTGCGGGCCGCTGCCCCCATCGACGCTACTGGTGCCACTTCCGACCCGCGGCTTATGGCCACTTCGACCTCCGGCCCTCCGTGATCAAGCGATCAAGCCGTGATGAAGCTCGCCACCGCCGAAGATGGAGGAGGAGGCCACCCCTCCACTCCACCAACACCGAACGCAGCGACCCGGAACTTGACGGAGGCCGACCTCCTTAAGTCCGATGCTGCCGCTCAGGATCGCGTTCGTGCCGCCGGCCAGCGCGCCTCGAGAAGGCCTTGCGCAGCCGCCGCGCTCTGAACAAGAAAGCCCGTTGCCCTCCGGGACCGTCTCCGCACGGACTCCCTCCACGACGACGACTCTCAGGACGGCGACGATCATTCCATCTCCTCCGACGCCGCGGCCATCGCTCATCTGCACAGCCAGGCTGCCGCTGTCCAGAACATCAAGAACTTGATTCCGATCGTTCTGGACCTTCAGTCCTCCAACTACTCCAGGTGGCACGGCTACGTCCTCCTCATCCTCGGCCGCTTCGTGTTGAAGGACCACGTCCTCAGTGACGCCTCCCGCTTCAACGATCCAGCGTGGTCCCGCATGGACTGCGTGGTGCGTCTCTGGATCTTCAACACCATCTCCACCGACCTTACGGGCGTCATCCACGAAGCGTGGCGACATCTCCGCTTTCGAGCGGCGTGGCTCGGCATTGAAGAGCGGTTCTGAACAATCGCGAGTCACGCGCCATGCTCCTCGACGCTGAGTTCCGCACCCTCTCCCAGGGCGCCCTCTCCATCGACGACTACTGCGCCGCAAGATGAAGGGCATGGCCGATGCCCTTGCCGATCTTGGCGAGCCCGTCCCATGACCGTACTCGGTCTTTGAACATACTGCGAGGCCTCAATGAGCGCTTCCAGTTCATGTCGCAGTTCATCACGCGCCAGAAGCCGTTCCCCTCCTTTGCGGATGTCCGCGCCGACCTGCGCCTAGCCGAGCTCAACATGGCACCTCCATCGGCTCTCGTCGTCTCTTTGTCCAGCAAGCCACCTGCATCCCAGCCGGCCTCTTGGTCTGCAACCCCGTGTCCTCAACAGAACGACGGGGGGGGCCTCGTCTGGTAGTGGCCGTGGCCGGCGTCGTCGTGGCGGCCGTGGCCAAGGCGGCTCGACGATGGCTCACCGGTGGTTCCCGGTGGCCCTCCTCCTCAACTCATGGACCGGGTCCATCCACATGTGGCCCGGTCCACTCCGGCTCTAACCTCCGTCCGCAGCGATTGCGAAGACGCTTTCGGTGGCGGCATGCCTCCAGCCTACTACCCTTCGGCTCCTGGGACATACCACCAGGTGCCCACCCAGGCGTCTCATCCTGCTGGGCGCCAGCACCACCTCCGACGCCTCCTGCTTGGTCACCGTGGGATCCCTAGTCCCTCGCCAACGCCTTCAGCACCGTCACCCTCACCCCGCCACCGAACTCCTCGGACTGGGTGATCGACTCGGGTGCTTCGTCTCACATTGCCTCCAACCCTGGTATGATTACCGTATCTCCATCCTCCTCTTTTCCTTCATCCATTGTTGTGGGAAATGGCGCCACTCTCCCGGTTGTTGGCACCGGATACTGCACCCTTCTTGGCCCTTTTCGTCTCAACAATGTCCTTATAGCTCCTGACATCATTAAAAATCTTCTTTCTGTTCGCAAGTTCACTACTGATAACTTTATTTCTGTGGAGTTTGACCCTCTTGGTGTCTTTGTGAAGGATGAACACCCTCCTTCGATGTAACAGCTCAGGGCATCTCTACACCTTGCGCTCTCCCCGTCGCGCCTTGATCCTTGTGCTCTTGTGGCCTCCTCCTCCAACTACTACAGCATCGTCGTCTCGGCCACCCAGCCCAGCGGCTGCCCTTCGAGTCTCGCCCAGATCATCTTCCATTATCTGCGACAAGTCTAAAGATGACTCCATCTCGCCATGCTGTCGACTTGGGCGCCATGTTAAACTTGCCTTTTACTAGTTCCTTGTCTAGAGCACCTAAAAATTTCGATCCGATACATTGTGACCTGTGGACATCCCCTATTGTCAGTGTATCCGGATTTAAATATTATCTCGTTATTCTCGATGATTGCTCTCATTTTCTTTGGACTTTTCCTCTTCGATTAAAGTCCGACACTTTTACTGTCCTCTCCAATTTCTTCGCCTCTATGCACACTCAGTTTGGTTGTACCATCAAATCCGTGCAATGTGACAACGGTCGTGAGTTTGACAACTCTGCGTCTCGTGCTTTCTTTCTTGCCAAAGGTGTTTCTCTCCGCATGTCATGCCCCTACACCTCATGACAAAATGGCAAAGCCGAACGCATGCTTCGCACCACCAACAATGTCACCCACACTGCTCTTCCAAGCGTCCATGCCCTCTCCCCATCTTGGGCGATGCACTTGCTCTCGCCACCCACCTCATAAATCGCCTCCCCACCAAAACGTGAACATGAGCACTCCTTCTTCGCCTCTATGGCACTCACCCTTCCTATCATGACCTCCGGGCCTTGGTGCACCTGCTACCCTAATCTCACCGCTACCACTCCTCACAAACTTGCCCCGCGCTCTTCTTTATTCGTTTTCATTAGCTACTCTCCCGATCACAAGGGTTACAGGTGCCTCGACCTCGCCACAAACCGTGTCATCATCTCTCGCCACGTTGTTTTCGACGAAACAACGTTCCCTTTCTCACTTCACGGCCCTCACCGCCTACACACGAATCGGATTTTCTAGCGATGACGACCCTCCGTGGGGTCCCTTTTCTCCCAGCAGTACACTGAGTCGCCGCCACCACCACCACCGCACCGCTGCAGGCTCTCCCCCGGCCGGTGTCTTGATCACCACAGCCGGGATCTCGCCACGTTGTTTTCGGCGAAACAACGTTCCCTTTCTCACTTCCGGCCCTCACCGCCTACACCAGCCGGATCCGTAACGATGGTCGCTCCGTCGGTCCCTTTTCCACCATACCGGGTACACAAGTCGGCCACCTCCTTGTGCCCCTTCGGCACGCCAGCCCCAGCCTAGTCTCTTCCACACGGCTTCACCGCCCATGCATGCCGGCATCCAGTCGCCTCTGCAGAGCTTCACCATACCAGACCAATGGGCGCCTCAGCCCCTCCGCCATTCCTGGTCCTCCCACCCGGCTTCACCGCGCCCATGGCGCCCCCTCCACAGCGCCATTGTCTGAGCATCCACGGCGCCCCCTCCTTGACGTCCTCTACAGGCGCCCACAGCGCCCTGTCTGGCCCGGCTTCCTCCTTCAGCAAGCCGCCCGTCGTCCACGTCTACACAGCGTGCCCCGCATGCCGCCACACAGGTCCCCAGCCGGGCTCCTCGGCGCCCGGCATGATTCCCTCTCCACGCTTCGTCAAGAGTGGTCCTCCACGCCAGCAGAGCCCGTCTCCATCCCGCCAATCGCCAACTCTCATGGCATGGCGACCGGGAAAGTCCGGATCTGAGCGACCTCGCCTTCTTTGTACACATCGAGGCTCTGCCCCCCCGCCGCCCAGTCTCTGTCGTGACGCTCTTGCTAATCCGCATTGGCGTCGGGCCATGGAAGAAGAATTTGCTGCCCTCTTGGACAACCACACTTGGGATCTCGTTCCTCGGCCTGCCAAGGCAAATGTGGTCACTGGAAAATGGATCTTCAAACACAGTTTCATGCTGATGGCTCCTTGGACAGATACAAGGCTCGTTGGGTGCTCCGTGGGTTCACACAGCGCCCCGGAGTTGATTACGATGAGACTTTCAGTCCCGTCGTCAAGCCCGCTACCGTTCGCACCGTCCTCACTCTGGCTCACTCTCGGGATTGGCCCATCCATCAACTTGATGTGAAGAACGCCTTCCTCCACGGGACTTTGTCAGAAACAGTGTATTGCTCTCAACCCACTGGCTTTGCTGATCCTGCTCTTCCTGAACACGTCTGCAAGCTCAACAGATCCCTCTACGGCTTAAAGCAGGCACCGCGAGCATGGTATAGCCGGTTTGCCTCTTTTCTGCTCTCACTGGGTTTCACTGAAGCCAAGTCAGACACCTCTCTCTTCATATATCGCCGTGGCACCGCGACAGTCTACTTGCTTCTATATGTGGACGATATTGTCCTTACAGCCTCCTCTGAGCAGCTCCTACACCGTGTGATTGATGCACTGAAGAAGGAATTTGCCATGACTGATCTCGGTCTCCTGCACCACTTTCTCGGCGTGGCAGTTCAGCGACACAGGGATACTCTCTTTCTCTCACAACGTCAGTACACTCTGGACATTCTCACTCGACACGGCATGAGCGACTGTAAACCATGCTCTACCCCTGTCGACACTTGTGCCAAAGTGTCTGCTGATGTCGGCCCTTCTGTTGATGATCCTACAGCCTACCGCAGCCTTGTGGGAGCTCTTCAGTACCTGACCTTCACCCAGCCTGACATTGCATACGCCGTCCAACAAGTCTGCCTACACATGCATGATCCCCGGGAAGTTCATCTTGTTGCTGCCAAGCGGATTCTTCGCTACCTTCAGGGCACTATCGGTCATGGTCTGGTCATTCCCAGATCTGCTCCAACTCAGCTCGTCGTGTACACCGACGCCGACTGGGCCGGCTGCCCCGACACCCGCCGTTCCACCTCAGGCTACGCTGTCTTCCTCGGAGGCAGCCTTGTTTCCTGGTCGTCTAAGCGCCAACCCACCGTTTCTCGGTCAAGCGCCGAGGCCGAGTACCGTGCCGTTGCCAACGGTGTCGCTGAAGCCTCCTGGCTGCGGCAGCTTCTACAGGAGCTTCACCATCCTCTGGATTCTGCCTGCCTCGTCTACTGTGACAACGTTAGAATTAATTACCTCTTAGCTGTAATCTCTTAGTCCTATGCGCCACCTCCAGGCTGGCCAGGCCCTTTGGGCTCTCCTTGCTCTCCTATATATACGTGTAACTCCTCCTGTAATCTGATTAAGTAATCCAAGCCTATTGCCCTTCCTCTATTACATTCATATGGAAAAAGCTAAATTCAGCTTGTGTTACCTTTTGTGCTCTTTGAGACTTGGCACTTTGATAGGTGATGGTTCTTGTCTTGAATTACTATCTCCCAGGTCTGCGAATCGCTCCTCCTGAAGCACCTGTTAGTGGTTACATGTTCGGCAAGGGTGTTTACTTTGCTGACATGTTTTCAAAGAGTGCAAACTATTGCTGCGCTTCAGAAGCATGTAGATCTGGAGTGCTGCTTTTATGTGAGGTCTGCTGCCTACTGAATATTTATGCATGATTTTACTAGCTTCAGATTGTGTGGTATTTTATCTATTTGTTACACTGGTTGATCACTTGATTGTCATATGTGCATGTCCCAATTATTTTGTTTGTTACACTAGTTACTTTGTCATATAGAGACTAGAGTTCTGCCCAATTATTTTGTTGTAAGGTATTTGCTGAGTTCAGGGTAAATGCAGATTACGAGTGAGCTATTTAACTTCAATTTGCCAGGTTGCATTGGGCGATATGAATGAGCTACTAAATGCAGATTACAATGCTAATAACCTGCCCAAGGGAAAATTAAGGTCTGTTACTGATGCAATTTCTTTTGATTATAGCACCTTCTTTTCTCCCCCTAAATCATTTTCTATATGTATTCCTTTGGCCAATTTCTAATGTTAAATGATATGCAATAATGGAAGACAATATTTTTCCTAAATCATTGTTTGCTTGTGTTTTTCTTGTGGCCAATTCCTGATGTTAACTCAGTACTTATAATGGCGCAAGATTGGAAGATATTTTTTATGCTCCATTTAATATATACTACTGTAACGTCCCTCATCTATTTGCTTTTTGAATTTTAAAATTGCATGAAAATGATACAAGAGAATGGACTAATTGCTTGTTAGTGGCTGAAAATATTATGCATGCTGCTGATATGAACAAGATTTGGTTGCAATTATTTTTGTGCAGCACGAAGGGAGTTGGTCAAACAGCACCTGACATGGTCGAGTCTAAGATCACTGACGATGGTGTGGTTGTTCCCCTTGGCAAACCTAAACAGGAACCTTCCAAAAGGGTATGTACATTCCCGTGCTGCATTTACATGGTTATTATATATTTCCAAATGCAAATCCCATATGGGAAGCACCGTAACTGTGAAAATACTGCTCTCTGGTTGCAGGGTGACTTGCTTTACAATGAGTACATAGTGTACAACGTAGATCAGATAAGAATGCGGTATGTCCTACTTGTTAACTTCAACTTCAAGAGGCGGTAGATGCTGTTGGCCTGTTGCAAAGAGCTGAAGGTGTTGCCGAGATCTTTCTTAGCAGAACATCTGTGGAATTATAGCACCAAAGGTTTCATCTTAGGTGCCGTCGTCATCATTTTCTGAGCAGATTTGGTAGCCTTTGCATTTCGATTTGGTTTCAAGCTTCCAGCCCCGTTGATAACTAATGCTGAGTGTATATATGATCCATTGCAATCCATCTTCCATGTAGTTATATCTTCCATTTATTGGCACATTAGTTTTTTAACATGTTCCATGCATGTAAATCAAATGAAGCATATAGCCCTAACACGATTCTAACTATCCGCAAGCTAAAACTAACATGGTGGCCTTTGTAGTTTTTCAACGGATCATAAAATTGTTGACCCTTGAAAAGATATACTCTAGGCACTATGAAATCTTGCGCTCAGATACTTGAATGAATAATTCATAACGCCATTGTAATTTCAGAAATCCTTGTCTGTATGAGCCAACAACAATAAATCATGAGATAATGGGTCATGTTTCTTGCACGTCGTCTTGGTAGGTGCACTTATGCATGATACCAACGTAAGATTATACTAATACAAATGGAGGCATGGATGGGAGTTTGTCCTATTCTTTAGACTTTGCCGCAAGATAGAAGGTAAAACTAGTGCAAACTATCTAAAGACTAAGAAACAATGTATGTTGCTCATGGGTTAGATTGCAGCATAATCAACCTATCTTAAGAAAATTTACTGTAAGCAATGGACAAGACAAGTAGAATTAGGGTGCGTTTGGCAGTGAGAAACGTTTTAGATTCTCACTGGAATCACTAGTCGCTTGTAGAGAATCACCTGAAATCGATTCTCGTTTTTTTACCAATCCAGATAAATATGTAACACCTTGTATCATCTTATTCTAGTTCTAGTTTCAAGAATTTAGTGAGCCAGCCAAACGATTCTATGAAGTGATTCTAGATTTGCAGAGACATTTTGAGAGAATCTGGATAAAAAACATTTCTTGGAGAATCTAGAACCCTACCAACGCACACTAAGTAAACATATTTTCTTTTGAAAAGTCACAGGTAAGAAATTTATTGGACATGTATTAATAGAGAAGAAACAACTTAGCGCGCGTTTAGTTCCCCAAAGTTGGATTTTGGGGCTACTGTAGCACGTTCGTTTTATTTGATAAATAGTGTTCAATCATGGACTAATTAGGCTCAAAACGTTCGTCTCGCAATTTCCCACCAAACTGTGCAATTAGTTTTTTTTTTCGTCTACATTTAATGCTCCATGCACGGGCCGCAAACATTCGATGTGACAGATACTGTAGCAACTTTTTGGAATTTGGGATCCAACTAAACAAGGGCTTATAGTAACACAAAACAAGACAAAGAACACCCCCATCACAATGAGAGCAACAACAACAACAACCACAACATAATACATCGCCAACAAGCCACCAAAAGCACCGGCAAACAGGGGCCCTTCCAGGCCGTAACAAACAAGCAAAGAGCTTTGAGGATGAGGGGTGATCACCATGACATACCTCCAAGGAGGAAAGTGACACCTATAAATGCCTCCAACATTGACAAATGGACCTAAGGTTTTTCAATCTAAACTCTAGGAGTCAGGAGGCCTCACAAAAATGCTTTCAATGAGAAGCGATACGTATCGAGTGTCTCCACTACCTCAACGTTAGCTGGGTAAGGCTTTTGACCGAAAGTTTCCTACCTCCTTGATAGGATCTAGATAACCAGAGGGGGGTGAATAACCTTGTACAAAGTCATAAACACTATAGCAAAGTGGTTAGTACAATAAGAGGCCCTAAAAGCATCTACTTGCCACTACTATAGAAATCTTTTCCGAGGCGGGCAAGCAAATGCCTCTATAAATAAATAAAAATAAAAGTCCGTCGATGAGCCTGCTAAACCCATCGACGGGCCCGCCAAGCCTAATCCACCGCTGCCGCCGCCCTGCGCCTAGCGCGCCGCCTCCGATGCCACCGTCCTCGTAGCCTCTAGATCCAGCACCGGGGTAGCGCCCGCCGTGGATCCGTCGCCGTGGAGCTCGGCCGGCCAGGATCCGCCGCCAGGGCGCTCGACTGGCATGGATCTGTCGCTGGGGAGCTCGACCGGCCTGGATCCACCGCCGAGGAGCTCGACCGGCCTGGATCCGCCGCGGGGGAGCTCGGCCGCCGCCGCCACTGGATCTGGTCAAAAGGAGGAGGTGGCGCCGCCGCCGGGTAGTGGATCCGCCGCCTCTCGCTGGTTCCCGTGCGACGCCGCTGCTGGAGAAGGGGCCGTGCGCCTAGAACCCCTGTGCCGCCGCCACTGGAGGAGGGTGCCGGGCACTACGCGTCGCCTGCGCTGGAGGAGGGGGCAGGCCCGCCTCGCTGTCGCCGCTGCCGAGGCCACGCCCGCACCCGCGATGTCGGATCCGAGGCCACCGAGGGGCCTAAGAGAGGGAGGGCGTGGGGGAGGAGGTGCGTCGTCGCGGAGGAGGAGCGAGGTCGGGCCACCGCCCCGCCGCGCCATGAGGCCGCGTCGCCGAGCAACCGCGCCACCACGCCGTGAGTCCGCGGCGCCAGGCCAGGTCGGCCCTCCACCGTCGGCCTGAGGGAGGGGGAGAGAAGAGAGGGAGGGAGAGAAAGCAACGCCTGAGGGAGAAGTGAGAGAGGTAGACGGCTGAGGCTTTTGAGGGAGAAGTGAGAGACTGGGAGATGTGAAACCCTAACTCCAGTATATATATGAACCCGATATGGATTGGATTTGGGATTTTTGCTGGGCCTTGGGAAGATTAATTGAGACGGGCCTTATAAGTGGCCCGCCTCCGAAAATGGGGGCTTTTTGGTGGTGGGCCACTTATAAGGCCCGCCTTGGTTAATAGATTTTAGGAAAATGACTGCCTCGGTTAATCCAGGCATTAACTGAGGCAGTTTAAAAGCCTACCCGCCTCTGAGACCTATTTGCAAGTGCTGCACAAAAGATTTTATGTAGTAGTGTGCTCTAGTTCTAATTCACCCAATGCAAGCCTCTACACAAGCTTAGTAGCTTGGTTTTCTAGTCTATGTCACACCAGAAAGCAAGCTACCAACTAGCAAAACTAGCTACAATTAGCAAGAGCTATTAACAAAGGTAACTACAACTAGTTACACCTAATACTACCACTACTCTAGGCTAGTCAAGCAACTACCACACAAACAAGAATATGAATGTAAGTACAAGAGTGATAGTGAGCAAACCACACGGGCAAGAGATGATACAAGATATATTCTCGAGGTTCGGTTGCTTGCCACCAACCTACGTCCTCATTGTGGCGAGTCCTCAAGTGATGGTTCATGAGCTAACTAGCGTGACAAGCTAGACCCACCAAGGGTACCGCAAGAACCACTCAAATGGTGCACTCCAACTAGTCACGATTCCACTAGAGTTGCTCTTCGCGATCTTCGGCGGGGATGAGCACAAGAGCCCCTTACAATCACTTGATTGGAGCCGATAACAATCACCAAAGCCACTCAATGATCTTCCGCTGCCGCCAAGCCGTCTAGGTGGTGGTAACCACCAAGAGTAACAAAAATCCCGCAACTCAACTCGATCACTAGCGCCACTAGATGCAACAACTCAATGCAAAATGCGTTAGAATCATCCCCAATCTCAATTTGGATAAAGCAACAGGCAAAAAGATGAGTGGGAGGTGTTTGCTTAGGCTCACAAGGGTGTTCAACAGGTTAGAGTGCCGAGAGAGCCAGCCAAATGCCGACCAATGTCTATTTATAACACCCCAAGGAGCCAACTAGCCATTGTGCCTCACATCACAGAAAATGGGGTCATTGGACCGACCAACGCCCACCATCGGAACATCGGCGAAGGGTCCGACACCCTTAGAAGCTACCACGTGTTACTGGCTGTTTGAAGATAGCCGTTGTCGCCCAACGGCTAGCGTGACTCATGATCCGCTGCCCTGGGGTCCGACGCCCCTCAGACCAATGAAGCCCAGAGTCTGGTGCAACACAGAGAGTTCCAGAGCCTGTAAGTTGAACATGCGTGCCCTAACTGCGCTGTATGCTCGGTCTTAGGTAGAGATGGCAACAGGTACTAGAAACCAGATGGGTTTTTTACTCTATTATTATGGGTCAATTTCTCTAACCATGGGTTCATTATTGGACAAAAGATCAGACCCTGCGGGTTTGTGGGTGTGGGTCTGGGAGTATAGTACCCAAACCCATAAAATCCATAGGTTTTTTGAACTCGTAAATTTGTATGTACAACCCATGAACATTTGTGAAAAGGTGAGAACTAAGAAAGAGGACGAATGATCATTGGCTAACCATAGCATGCTGCCGATATTCTATGGGCTTTGATTTCACGGTGGCCCACTTAGCCAAGCAGCCTTTAGCGGAGGGCCATAGGTCCAGCGCGCAATAGTGCTTGCTCTTCCCTCAAAAAAAAATAATAATAATAATAGAGCTTGCTCTTGCCCCACCTCGTGAAGCCTAAGCAAGCACAGAGGCATAAAGCTTAGGAAAGCCACTCCAAGTCGAAGAGGATCGGCCACCTTCGCCTTCAATACATCTCCTGGCAGCAACGCCGGTAGAAAAATATTTTCCCCACCGAAAATCTTTGAAGTTAGCTAAATATAATAAACATTTTAATTTTTAAATTAGAAGATAATATAAATATATGTACGTAAATGGAAGTTAAATATTTCATATATTCAGATATAGGTTTGGATATTAGTTGGATATATCTGATTTTTAAACGTATTCATATTCAAATTATTATTTGCAAGTGTTCGATTTGATGGTCAGTTAGTGGGCATAGGAAACCCGATCGGTACTGGTGACCCGAGTGGGTATGGGTTTGGACATAAAATTGTACCGAATGGGTATGGGTTTGGACATAAAATTGTACCGAGTGGGTATGGGTTTGGACATAAAATTGTACCCTTGATTGGTTTTGGATTTTTTAGGCCAGTCTCAGTGGAATATTTTACCTCCTAGTTTCCAAGAAGTGACACGAT